AGGGGGGGGGGGGGGGGGGGGGGGGGGGGGGGGGGGTTGCCTATATAACTGTTTACGCCTGTACAACAAAACAAAAGGAGTACATATTAGATTTATTTATGTTGTGCATAAGATTATTGTCTTAATTCTGTCCCTATGCTTTGGAGCAGGTGGTTATCCAGCTCATGGCATTAACAATGGCTACAAAGCAGGTACATTATTTCAAAACATATTTTATTGTAATTTACTTGACTTATTATTTGGCTTCAGCTTTATAATTTCTATAATATTTTTTTTAAACAATTGTAGATCAAGCTACTTGTCTAAAAGGGATTTTTTTTCTTCTTCTGGTGTTACTCTACAGGTTATGAAGGATATGGAAACAAATTCAATAAGCCAGGTAGGAATATCCTACTTCATGGATATTTCTTATATCAGTTGTTGACATAGACACAATTCACATGTACATTTAATAAATATTTCATCTGATGTCTTTATATGCTGGGGTGTCACTAGTCCGAGATTTAGCCTATTAGTGCAATATCATATCCATGCTACCTACAAGTAAATAAATAATGAAGTAAATCCTTCAAACCAGTGTTATTTTTTCCACATTTTTACAATTTGGATATTAATGCTTTTAACATGTTTTGCTTGTAAATAAATACTAAAAATTAGTAATCATACAGACATCAATGACATGACTTTTTGATCAAATGGTATTGTTTTATTTACCTGTTTAATTGAGTGTGTTTGTAGTTGTTATTTTTTCATTCATTCATTCATTTACATTCTGATAGCTGGACCACAAGGTGGGCAGCCAATGGGATTTGGATCTAAGGGAAAAGCTCAAGCAAAATATGGTTAGTCTGAGAACAACCCTATGTGCTAATTTCATAAGAACTCATCAAATAGTGTCCATTTGCGGCACATTGTCCTTTGCTCAGTTTTCATAACTGCAGTTTTATTTTGTCAGGAATTGGTGGACTTCCATTTGGTTCCAATAGAGGATATCAAACCAACCCCTCTGGACAATATGGCATGTTATCATCTTCATATTGTAATATTTAGGGTTAATGTTGACCATAGCAGCAGCCCTAAATGGACACACTGATTTATGCGTCTTTCCTTTAGGTAATGAAGGACAGCACTATGGAGCCAAACCCTACAATCCTCAAGCACTGGGAAAACACGGTAACGATTTCATTAAATGCTTTGATATTTCCCTACAATTTTTGTTATTTATTTGCACTAAAATATATGTAGTTGTGAAATAATATTAAACTTCAAATAAATAAGTGATGGAACGCCTAGCCCTTGCATCTTAAAACATTATCTAAAATGCTGTTTAATTCGTATTGTTTATTTCTTTATCTAACACCACTGTACTCTGACCCCAAAATAGGATATGGTAGTTTACCATACAACTCTCAACCTCTTCTACCGGAATCTGTTGCCAAATCATCCGGTAAATATGGCGAGTTAAAAAAGCATTTTGACTAGTCATACAGCGCATCTGTTTTTGAAGGTATTTTAAAATACGAGTTTCTGTATTTTCAGACTTTGGAGGGTTACCCTACAATGGTCAGCCGCTTGGATATGGTGGTGACAAGTCGTCTGGAAAATATGGTGATTATTTTTTATTTATTATTATTATTTTATTATGTTATTTCTACAAATTCTAAAAGTGAATATTTTACTGTAATACTCTCTCAGGACAAAAGGGTCTTCATTATGGTGGTCAGCCACTTGATCTCAGGCCTGATGCTATGTCTGGGAAATATGGTAAAAGCTGATTTTTTTGTACAGATAGTTGCACGACAATGCCAACAATATAAATATATATATATTGTACTGATAAGTACGCCCCTCCTCTCCACTTTCTGTAGGTTCTCCAGAATCCTTGTATAATCCAGAATCTCTCAGTCTCAGTGGCGATGCCAAATCAGCTAAATATGGTGCCACTTGTTTCTTAATTCATTCATACTAGTTTAAAGATCCCGTTTATCGTTCATCTGTACGTGAATCATGCCAAACAGCATACAGTTAGGCTAATAATTGTTTTGTACTGACCATGGTAAAATCACTGTAATACACAGTATATAATGCATGATATTCTGACTTTGTTTACATGGCCTTCAGGTAATCCAGCAGTGTCATATGAGCTCCTCGGCCCTGTGACTGATGGCCAATCTGTTGAAGGTATATGCATAATCTTTTTAGTAATTGTTAATCAAGCAAGAACTATTGGAATACTGTGTTGTAATTATATTATTGTCTATTGTTTAATGAGGAAAATACAAGATTGGTCATTTGAATTTACTGTGAACTCATGAAAGTTATAATCATTTCATCCTTTCTTTCTCTCATTTAAACAGAAAACAGAAGCCTGGAGGTTTTACACCAAGGTCCTGAGATTGATGGACAGAAATCCATTGACCAGTTTGGTTAGTCATGTTTGTCTATACTCTTTCAGATATGTGTATCTCCATTCAAGTAAGTTTTTACTCGCATCTGACAGAAGCACACATGTAAACATACACAATATGCTTCTATTGTCCTCTTTTGTAAGTCGCTTTGGAAAAAAGCATCTGTTAAATGATTAAATATAAATTAAATGCAAACACAAAAATCCATGTGAGATCCAGGAATTTTCATTCTGAGCCACATCCAAATGTAGTTTTAAATCAGATACATATCCGATATCTGGACATTTTTTTCACCGTTTTTTATTCAGGAGATGGAGAAGTTCCACCCCATCCTGATACTCCAGGAGCTGGAGAGGCGAATGCACAATCCATAAACAAATACGGTACAAGCATTTGTTGACACTAAATGTATCTACATGAATGCAGTGTATAAATATGCATATAAATATTTCTCACATTTCACCCTCTTTGTTTAAGGAATGGGTGATTATACTGATGGAAGAGTACAACCAGAAGGTAAAAGAAATGTTTCTATGAATGTTATACATTCAGTATCTACCGACTTTGTTTTGTTTGGGCATACCGACTTAATTTTTTTGCCCCCTTGTCTTGATTTTCCATTCATTTCCAGCCCTTGCCCCATATTATTCTATTCCAAATAAATTGATAAGTCAAATCCAATCATTTCTTTCTTGACTGCCCTGCAGTTGTCTCTTTCCCTGGTGTTCCCACTGTGGGCCCCGCTCCTCACATCCCTGCTGTCACCTCATTTGACACCACACTGGACGGTTCCTCCCTGGCCCCTGTCTCTGTTCCTGATGTGTCTGCTGTTTCTGAGGTGCCTTTCTCACCCACATTCTCTCAGCCTGAGCTGCCCACTCTAAAGCAGCAGCCAGCACCACCACAACAGGTTCACATTCAGCAGCACCTCAAGTTCCACTTCCACCCACAGGGCAACTCCCAGACAGGTATAATGCTAATAGATGCAAACTTGGGATTACACATTCTAAATTGTTGATTTGCAATTGATAACAGCTTGACTATCAAACTATATTCATTTTTCAGAATAATTTCTTATTGCCATTATTATAAATATGCAACTATTTGAATATCAATTATTTATCACATTACTTAACGCTTTCCAACAATTGAATGCGCAATGCCTTTTCTGTCAAAATAAAACAAAAAATGTAAATTTAGCATAATTTCCAAACTTTGTGCATTAAAAGTTGGTTCTTTTTAACAGGAAAGGAAGGCAAATACAAATTGAATGGTTTCTTTGGAAATAAATACCAAGGTATGGATAATACATACAGTATATACATTTAACATTAATAAAAATTAAATCATATGAATAATAGCAATGTGGCACTTTTTTTGTAACTCATACCTCTGTTTCTTTTCTTAGGATAATTTGGAAGTGGAAGTTCATATTGCAAAAATGTGGATCTTCAGTTGATTTCTCTTTACACTTAATGTTTCTGTGAATGTTGTAAATTTTCTATGGTTTTATTTGAGTCTTTTGTTCTCCTTAACCTCTAGTTTTGTTTTTTAATGTTTGTTACCCTGCTTGAAATTAAATAGCTGGCTGTAAAAATAACGACATTTTAGTTTATAAATCATTATAGCTTATGCATCTTTCTTTCTTTTCAGTGTTCGTTTAAATTCCATATTTGTCCATAATTTTGGAATACAAAAATGTATTTTATGTTTTGTGTCATTTTCATTTCAATGTAGATGTGTGTTATTTTGTTTCTAGAACTCATTGTTATTTATTTCTTTTTAATTTCCTGTGGCAATGCTATGTATGTTTTGAATAAATACAAATAAACTCTAAATCTAAGCTTTGTTTAAATCTTTGAAGATTTCCTTGGACTTCATAGCACCAAAAGATGTACTAGGTTTATCATATCGACAGTTTAATAAGAAATAAAAAGCATGTGTTGAAGTCTGCCAGTAGGCTATAGCGTTTTAAGGAACTGTAATCTTCCATGAGCTGACCTCTGCGGAGTCTGACTGCTGACTGCTGATTGGCTAAGACACTAAGTAGCAGTAAATTGGCCCACAGCTTCTTTGCAAGCAACAAGTTGCTGCAGTTCTACACGTGAGTATTTCTGAGACTGGGTATATGGTGCCAGAAAGTTACAACTTTTGCTAACGTTCTTAGAAACTATGTATTTATAGCTTGATTTACATGATTTACTACATACTTTCCTCCCAAGGGAAGGTGGTCAAGGAGACCTGAGAATATTTGACATTTTCTGCAATGGATTATTTTATTGGGCCAAAACTTCTGGATTTTAAGAATTCACCGCCACATCTTCAGTTCAACAAGTATGTCCTGACAGGATACCGGCCTATATCCACTTACAGAGACTGTCTGCGAAGTTTGTTCTATCTGCACAATGAATTTGGGAACATCTATACACATGGTATGAAAAATATCCTCCATAATTTGTACTGTAACATCTGGAATTTGTTTAACATACTATCTGCTGTAAAGTAAGGGAGTTGTAAATGAATTATGTGGATGTAAAAATGTAATTTAGAATGCCTGCATTATTCCACTAATGGGAAACAAGGAAATCCAGTGATTGTCTTAAAGAGGAGAACCTTCTGAAAATGAAATTTAGGGCTACTTTCTCCACTATTCACCCAGTGACACTCTTCAGAAGGGTCTGTAAATAGCATTACATGAGATTACATCTAATCCTCGTTAGGGAATTGCTGTCTTGGAAGTGATGCTGTGATTGGTAAAAGTGCAGTAAATATTCTAGAGACCAATATTTTGGAAGTTTTTGAAAAAACAATTTTATAGATTTTCTTTGGAATTTTTTTAGGCATGTCTCAATGTTAAAAAGTCATGTTAACCTCAATATCCTCCATAATTTGTACTGTAACATCTGGAATTTGTTTAACATACTATCTGCTGTAAAGCAAGGGAGTTGTAAATGAATTGTGTGAATGTAAAAATGTAATTTAGAATGCCTGCATTATTCCACTAATGGGAAACAAGGAAATCCAGTGATTGTCTTAAAGAGGAGAACCTTCTGAAAATGAAATTTAGGGCTACTTTCTCCACTATTCACCCAGTGACACTCTTCAGAAGGGTCCGTAAATAGCATTACATGAGATTACATCTAATCCTCGTTAGGGAATTGCTGTCTTGGAAGTGATGCTGTGTAATTGCTGTGATTGGTAAAAGTGCAGTAAATATTCTAGAGACCGATATTTTGGAAGTTTTTGAAAAAACAATTTTATAGATTTTCTTTGGAATTTTTTTAGGCATGTCTCAATGTTAAAAAGTCATGTTAACCCCGAAGCCTACTGTATCATATTTGATACACAAATTTCATAATCTACTACATGCCTTCTGTTATCTGATTGATAGTTTTTAGCAAGTAAAATACCTTTTTTTTTTTTTTTTTTAAGTGTAGTTTGAAAAATGTCTCCATTCAGGTAGTGGTACATGTCTTTTTGCTGTGAAATCCTTACAAAGTAAATTTAAAAATAACTTTTATATTGTTAGTAATATTACAAGATGAACACTTACTGGACTGAAGCAACTTAAGATATCCCTGATTATCCATACATTTTTAATAATTTTAAAATGTATCAAATATGATACATCAGGCTGAGGAATGTTTAAGTCTCCATTTCTCAGTCATTGAGCTCCATATTCTACTATATCATACTATAAAATAAAATTTTTTTTTTTTTTTTTTTTTTTTTTTTTTTTTTTTAAGGTGTAGTTCGAAAAATGTCTCCATTCAGGTTGTGGTACATGTCTTTTTGCTGTGAAATCCTTACAAAGTAAACTTAAAAATAACTTTTATATTGTTAGTAATATTACAAGATGAACACTTACTGGACTGAAGCAATTTAAGATATCCCTGATTATCCATACATTTTTAATCATTTTAAAATGTATCAAATATGATACATCAGGCTGAGGAATGTTTAAGTCTACATTTCTCAGTCATTGAGCTCCATATTCTACTATATCATACTGTATAAGCCAAAAAAGCCTGATGTATCAAGTTCACTATATGGTCAAAAGTATTGGGACCCCTGACTCATACACCAACAAGGTTGTTATTTTATAACATCTTACACTCTTTTGGGAAGGCTTTCCACAAGATTTCGAGATTGTGTTTTATGCATTTGTGAGGTCAGGGCAGGCATTGATATTGGATGAGAAAGCCTAGATTGCAATCTCTGTTTCAGTTCATCCCAAAGGTGTTGATGGGGTTGAGGTCACGGCTCTGTGTGGACCAGTCAAGTTTTTCCACCGCAAACTCATCCATGTCTTTTTAGACCTTGCTTTGTGCACTGAGGAGCAGTCATGCTGAAATAGAAAAGGGCTTTCCCCAAACGGTTCCCAGAAGCATGACATTGTGCAATATATCTTGGTATGCTGAAGCATTAAGATTTCCCTCCACTGGAAGTAAGAGGCCTAGACCAACCCCTGAAAAACAGCCCCATTCAATTTTCCCTTCTCCACCAAACTTTACAGGTAACATTCTCCTAGAAGTTTGAGTCACCCATCAAACTGGCAAACAGAAAAGCACAAGTCATAATCCACAGAACACGTTTCCTCTGCTTCAAAGTCTACTTCTTTCAACGCTTGGCATTGTAGGCTACTTTTTGATACAAGGCCTGCATGTAGTTGCTCAGTTATGGAAATCCATTCCATGAAGCTCCCACCTTTTTTCTTTTCTGATATTAATGCCAGTGGAAGTTTGGAACTCTTCAGTTATTGCATTAGAAACGTTTATGCACCATGCTCCTCAGCACCAGGTCACCCCACTCTGGACGTGACCGTGGAATATCTAGCAGGGATAAAATTTCACAAACGTTTGCAAATTGTGGAATCCTGTTGCAGTAGCACAGGATATTACTGGAATATTATCAAGAAATGTGTACTATTCCGTAATCAGTACTTCTCTCATTTACAGGGGATGTTTGGTTGAAAACACTAGTATTAAGAATGTTGGTGAACACATTTGGCTTGCTCGTTGTATCAACTCTTACCACAATAATTAATTTCACTCATATCAAACCAGTCTCATATTGTAGCACATTCTCTTCTCTGTGTTTTGTCCATCAGGTATCCCCTTCATCTGTTTTTTGCTGGTTTTGCCTTTGAGTATCCCATGGGCTGAAGTTGATGAGTGGTGGATAGGAGTGGTGCATTATTTGGCTTGTCTGTCTCCCACTGTTTTTTCAGTCTTCTATCATCTCTTCATGAACCATGAGGGTGGAGCATCTATGTATGACACACTGCTGTGCTTCGACATGTTTGGTGTCTGTCTCGTCAACACTCTAGGTAAGATACGAAATTTAGGACTTGGACAGAGATTACTGTAATATACACTACATTGATGAGCCATTAAAAATATGGTTTCTTGCACAGATATATTCATGCAATACAGCTACGTAAATATCTATCCATCATTTATATATTTTCCAAACAGCTTGTCCTATGTAGGGTCGCAGGGATGCTGAAGCCTATCCCAGCATCTCTGGCTGAAGGTAGGGAAACTCCCTGGACAGAATATGAATCAGTTAAATATGAATCAACTACAGTTTTGAAGATATTTTCTTCTATATTGTGACATGTATATACAAGTGTAGCGCATTATCAAAAAGGTATTGCACGTCACCAGAGAAGAAGCCTGTTGTTTTCACCAGTATATGATGGTCAAATAGGAAAAAAAAGTAAACATTTGTTCATGATACAGTACTCATAATATAAACACTTGCATGTTTATAACATGCATTTAGAAAATAGTTAGCTTTTTCATTTCATGCTGACTTTTAACATGACTTCAGATTACATATAACCTAAATGTTAAGAAAATTAATATATGCCACATGTAGGGATGAAACATATGATGGACTTTTACAGTACACTGTAGGTTTTAAATACATTTTCTCATTCATGGTATTGCATGAATATACAAAGTTAGCATTTGTATTCAAGAGGGGGCCTCGAAATCGCATTCTGAGGGAGAATCACCTTCGGTCACAATTACATTCTTGTGGCATCAACCCTGCTGGGGAAAAAAAGAAAGACAAAAAAGAAAAAAGCTAAACCAGCCTAAGCTGGTTGGTTGGTTTTAGCTGGTATTCCAGCCTGCTCATAGCTGGTTTGCAGGCTGGTTTTAGAGGGCTTTTGACCACTTCTGGTTGGGAAACTAGCTGACCAACCAACTAAAACCAGCTTGACCAGCTCAGCCAGGTTTGGAGACCAGCTAACCAACTTAGGCTGGTTTTAGCCGGTTTTTTTTCTTCCAACAGGGGACACTGATTTTTGCTTCTTTCAAGGGCCAGGGTTCAATGATCTCCATGTACTTTTCTTTTTGCAGGTGCTCTGCCAATCATTCACATAACTTTGTTGTGTTACCCATCCTCCCGCCGTGTAGTGATGTTGGCATATCTCCTCCTCTCTGGCTGGGGTGTTCACTGTGCTATCACTGCACAGAGTAGCGTGCATCGCCTGCAATCTTTTGCTTGGCAGCTGATGTTCCGCTT